GGCCCTGGGTTCAAGCCCCAGCACTACCATAAATACATATATACATACCAGGTAGATATCACTCAAAATTACATGGTCATTGTTTTTGTTTTGTTTTTAGTACCAAGGATCGAACTCCGGACCTTGTGCTTGCGAGGCAGGCGGCGGAACCCCAGCCCCATGGTTTTTAATAAAATCATTTAACATTCAGTTTCCACAGTAGAATATGCTGCTTTTACTCAAAATACAAGCAACTATTAGGCAAATAACAATAGTAAATAAAAACTAGATGGTACTTTTTGAGTTTCTTGTTCATTAGACACAATATTATATATCTGTTTCAAGGTTCTGAACAATATTTCAAGTCATACAACAATGAAACTCAGGTGCCTATACTCAAGGTATTTTCAGACTTCACTATTTACTACTGAATGGTTAACTACAGCTCAAACAGAAGTAATTTTTAAAAACAGTAGTGGTTAATGTTATAGCTCAATGGTCTGAGCACTTGCCTAGCACCTGTGAGTCCCAAGGTTTGCTCGTGAGAACCACAAAGTCAGGAGTCTGAAAGCAGAGGATCTAAGTTCAAGGTCAGCCTGAGCTACACATAGTGAATTCAAATCCAGCTTAAACCATAGTACACAGGGAAACTGTCTCAAAAGCAAAGGGAAAAACAAACAAAAAGGAAGGAGAAGGAAGGGAAGGAGAAGGAAGGGAAGGAGAAGAGGAAAGGGAAGAGGAAGGGAAAGGGAAGGGAGGAAGAAGGGAGGAGAGTAAATAATAGTAAAGAAATATACAGCTTCCAAGTAGATATGCTAGTTTTCATCGAATATTTCAATTTTTTTAATGTAAGCAACATGGCTAGGGATGTAGTTCAATGAGTACTTGTCTAGCATGTGCAGGGCCCTAGATCTGATCCCCAATGCTGCAAATAAACAAACATTTCAAAATAAGGGAAAAGTGAGACTTCGAAGACCATTTGGAAAAGCCTTCACTCACATTTCCACTATCTTTATAACTTCCACAAATGTTTTTCCAGAATATTAGAATTCAAAGAATTTAAAATGTCATATAAATCAAGCCTGAAACCTCTTCATAAACATACCAAATAACACAATCCCAAACAACCAAAAGTCTATAACAAAAGTAGCTAGAGAAAGGTACACTCTTGCTGGGGATGTAGCTCAGTGGTTCTGCCGCCTGCCTCAAAAGCACAAGGTCCTGAGTTTGATCCCCAGTACCAAAAAAAAAAAAAAAAAAAAAAGGTACACTCTAAAAAAAAAAAGTATACTCTACACAAGTCAAATGTTCCTTGCAATGACCCCATGTTCATTCTGCATTAATTTTAATACTATTTCGAGGTAAATGAGTCTTTGTGTTATTTTTAAAACATGCAAAAGCCTATCATGCAGATAGATACCCAAAATCATAATATTCAAAACCAGATGTCATTTCATAGAAACCGCCTAGTCTCAAAGAAATGATATAGGCATGATATAGGCTATCAAAGTCAAATTTGTTTAAGCTGAAAACTATCTCTATACAGCAAGTAAGGACAAGGAAATTCTTCCTCACTTCATATTGTATTCAAGAAGCAAAATATCTGACATATATGTGACATGACATGCAACACTTGTTCCAGCTATTTAAACTCAGGGAAACCATTATGATAACACTCAAAATTAGCAAAAACAAAATATAATTTTAAATGGGTCTCATTCTTTGACAAAATGTTTACATTAGGAGCTACCTCACTCAACCTTCTGAATAATGTTTAACCTAATCTGTAAAACTAGGGGTGGGGAATACATGGGAAGAATCTTACATGTGACTGACTTAAAATCTGAAAATAAGGCACACAGAATTTTTATATCTTTAAAAGGTTCTATTCATTTGCTCATTTTAATTCAAGGAGTTGCCCCTGCACACCTCTCTCACACAGCTAAGAGACAGCAACCAATTGTTGTGTAATTCCTCCCTTCCCCCTTCAACCCAGCTAACATACAAAGGAAAGGACTTTCTCTATTGTGCATCGGTAATGAATCTTTGTTAACTAAAACCTGATTCAGAAATAGTCCTCATTTTTTTTTAATTCACCATATGGAAAGCTGTGAAGAGAATGAACACAATAGATTATTATGCAAGAAGATAAACCCAATTTTTTAAAAATACTCTGATTATATTCTAAGGGTTTGTTCTTTCTTTGGCACTGAGGGAGAAAAGCCAAATCAGCAAACATCCTTCCTTCAGTCTATTGTCCGTCAAAAACACTGATCAAAATATACGTTGAAAAAATTGACTCTAAGCTTTTCTTTCCTTTAAAAGGTCTCTAAGCTGCCCTGCCCCACAGCTGTCTGGTCTAATCTGTTTTGTTTTTTTTAATCCAAATACTTAGTGCAAAAGCCTAATCACTATTAAGCGAACATTCATCTTGAAAACGTTTTATATAATGTATTCCCAGTGTACCCCTCTTAATCCTGTAAAACAGTTATTAGTTAATGTTGTAATCAGCTAGGGAAAAGGGTAGAAGTAGGCACTCAAGCTTCATTTTTAATAGAGGTATTGCATGGTTTTTTCATTCTGATTTCTACAAGACATCAGAGGTGAATACCATTACATTTTCTAGCAGAGTCATCATTCTGGTATAGCTACCTTTTCATTTCTTTTATTTATTCAGATTTTCCATTCAAGTAGCAATCACACATTTTACAAAACATATTCCACAACAGGGATTTAAAAAGGCTGGTGCACTTAGCCCCACTGCTGGATCAGCAAGAACGTTTCTTTTAGGTGCAGAAAAATACACAAGAAACCAGAAATAAAGATGGGGGAGGGTGTGGGAATCAAAAGGTCAGGGGTGAAGGGAAGATGTTTGTTGTATACATCTGTACGTTATTTTTAAACATACTACCTATTCAAATAACAAAGTAAACTCGTTTAAAAATGAAACAAGTCGCCTTTAAAATAATGGAGTTTGAGGGACACAAGGCCTGCTTAGTTCCAAAATAACCTGCTTCTAACAGCAGCATCTGCTTTTGGTCTCCAATAGGTAAAATACGCCTTTAAATGCAGCCGTGAGCGATGTGCCAGCTAAGCCCTTTTCAATACTGCACTGTTCCTCCAGACTGCCGCTCTCCTTCCACAGCAGCTCGAATCCTCGCCTCCCCCCTCCTCGCATTCTGAGATCTGCTCTGCTGATTCCCACATAAAGTGGGTCCTGGCCGCCATTTTAGAAAGTCATTCACACGATCCGGACCGCAGCACCATCCTCTTCAAAATCTCCCAAAACTGGCCTGGACGATTTCCTGGCTCCTTCCTTATGCCCTCATTTTGCAGAGGGGTCAAACTCCCCGCCAGAGGCAAGCAGTGTCTCTGGAATCTGCATAATGGGAAGTGACACGTCTAGCCACATAACAGAGGAGAGAGCGAATGCTGCAATGCACGTGTTAACACGTCGGGACATACGAATTTCCCAGGCAGAGACTGACAGAGAAAGTCCACAAGGAGATCAAAGTGAGCACATCTCAGTGGGTTTTCCACTCCAATAATCTGAGCCTAAATGATTTTCCACCAAAACACTGAAGATACCGGGGGAGAGGGCGAGGGGCAGGCGAGGGGTGGAGCAGCGCCAGGAAAGTTCCCATCTGCTTCCCGATTCAGCCCGCAGTCTCCCCTCCAACCTGGCGCACGGAGGCAAATCGGGTGCTCCCGACCTCCCTCCCGCCCATTTCTCAGGCACAACGTAGTAAACACCGGAGTCCCGGGAAGCGCGCACCTCCCCCGGACCCGCCGAGGGCGGCTTAGCAGGTTATGAATGGTCTCTCTATGCCCGGCTTCTTTTCACACGCGGACACGCGCACACGCGCGCTCCGGAGGCGAAGATTTAATACCCGGGTAACAGCCGCCACCAACCGACCGGTGGGCCTCCCTCCTTCCACAGGACAAGAGTCCCGCGGCCGCTGCGTCCATTTCCCCATCCTAGCGGCCCCACAGCAGCGATGCAACCCATTTTTCCCATGGTGACTCACTAATAAGGACACTCCGTAATTCCCTCACTCACTAGGTAAGAGGAATCAAGAGCCAACCGAATTTGGAGCTTTTCAGGGTCTTGACTATCTACAAAACGAAGATTTTGAGGACGATCGCAGATTTGCTAAGGTCCCTCTCATTGTGCGCCAAGTCTAAAGTTCGTTTTAAAATAGTCAGGGATCCTGAGACCTCTTGCCAGTTACGGTACAGGCATTTCACAAAGAAAACAAGAGCTAAATACCACTAGATGAATAAGACATATCGACAGCAACATTTATTCCTAAGTTTACCAGGCAAAATATATTCAGGGAAGCTGAAAACAGCTATATCCAGTCCTGACTGTCTTGCATAAACCGAATTTGAAGGTAGAGAACATCGCTTTTCTAAAGGCTGTAGGGTCGCCTTCCCAGCGGGCTCGGGCTCCGTCGGCCACCCGGAGACCCGGCAGGCTCAGGGCGAAAAGCGCCCCAACAAGCGCAGTAACTCAACTCTAGGCGTCCTCCTCCACCCAGCCCAGCACACACGCAAGCACCCGCCACTGCCACCTTGCGCGGTGCCCCGAGAGGCCCGGGGTCCGGGGCCCCTTTCCACCTCCGGCCTCCCGCGTCACCTACCGAGGCTCGGGCTTCCCCTAGTCCCGCCCCACCCCGCTGCGAGGCCGGCATTTCGAGCGCGGGAGCTGCAGCAGGACCTGGACGCGCCGGGCCGGGGCTGTTAGGCGGGCTTCGGTCCCGGCCCGGCCGCTCGGAGCGGGAAGCAGGGCTCAAGGATGGGGCCACGGCGAGCTCGACGAGAGCTCGGCTGGGAAAGCGAGGGCGCCTGGTCTCCTTCCCCGCGACGATAAGGTGGCAAACGACACCCGGGGCAGGGGTCTGGGCACAGCGCGCCGTCCCCCGGTCTGTCTGGGTCCCCGCGCCGGCTCGGGTGGCGGTCGTCAACGGGCCGGCGGGAGGCGGCGGACGGCGAGCCGGGGCCTCGAGGCGCGCACTCACCGTTTGAAGTGCTCGATGATCTTCTCCTCCCGTACGTTTTCCGGTAAGTTGCCCACCCAGAGGTGCCTAGTTTCCCGGACCATGCTGGGTGGCGTGCCGGCGACCGCGCTGGCCGGCTCTCCTTCGCCGGCTCCGAGCGAGGCCGTCAGCGCCGGGAGGCGGGCGCCGGGGCGGCGGCGGCGGCGGCTGCGGCGGTGGCGTCGGCAGCGGCGGCGGCTCCTCCGGCTCCCCCGTGTGCAGAGACCATCCCTCTCCCCCAGGTTCCGACTCTCCGGCCTCGCAGCTCCGCTCTGCAGCCACCACACACCCGAAGCCGACCCTCGCGCTCCGGCGGCGCATGCGCGCGGGCGGCGACGGGCGGGGGGAGCGGGAGGAGGGGCGAGCGGGACCCGGGCGGCAGCGACGACGACGGAGCTGGCGCTGTGGCGGCCGG